CTAATTATATTTATTTTGTACAAAATACAAAATTTTGGCACAAGGCCAAGGGGGAATTAGGATAAAGGCTGGTCTTTCACTAGCTATCCTATTCCTAATTAACTACAATCATGATCCATTCATACATTACAATTACACATTCACCACAAGAACTCATCCATCACCTTTCAATCCTGCACATACCACAATACCATATATGTAAAAGGGTCCTACAAAACACCCCATGAATTCAAAATTTTAATGATCGCATATATATGTATAAAAATCCTATGAAAACATGAAATGATGGGGAGGGGATATGAATCTCACAAAGAAACTGAAAATATCAACCAAAGACAAAACGAAAACAAAACAATGTTAGTAGGAACCGTCCATCCCTCAAAATAATAAGAATGGCCGCTGTATTCTATCGATAGATAAAATCAAGAAGCACACTCTCTAATGGAATGGGGAGGGAAAAATAAATGACGGAATGGGGGAAATTAAAGGCTGACTCAGCCGAGATGAAAAAGAAGGGGACAAAAACAAACTAGGGAGATTGGGAATCTCGACATGAATCATAACAGAAGAAAAAAGCCGGGAACAGGCCGGGAACAAGACTTAACCCCAAGAACGCTAATGACAGAGATCCAAATCACTGGTAGCAAATTTTTATAACCATCAACACATGGTTCATTCTGAATCTGACTTCAGTCTCGAAGCACCATTATTATTGTAGAAGGTTCCAGCAGTACAATGTAGAATAATGACATGAAAATTTTCACAAATGACATCATAGTTATTAGGTTATATATGTCATAATCCTAAATTTTTTTCCCTTTTAAATGGCTTCTTTAATGAAGCCAATATGTGAAGATCTAAAACAAACCTCCTAGCAATAGAATTAAAACAGATAAGGAGGAGGGGAAGGAAAAAAATGAAAGTTGACTAGAATAAGACAAAGACTCACTGAAAACTGTCAGTTTATGTTTCAGCTACACAAAGTCGCACGAGACATGTTGATAACAACTGCATCCAAGATGTTAAAATGGTGTTTCATCTGAGCCTCTGTTCAGCATAGAGACAAAATCCCATGAATAATTAGTCCCCCTACGGGTAACAGGTTCCTTCCCCTCCCCCATTTTCTCTTTTAATTCTATTGCAAGGAGGTTTGTTTCCTTTCAGTAGTTTTTCTTCATTCCGACGATATTTCTTCTGATGAAGCGACGGACGAAAGGTACCTTAAAATTTCTATTTTTAATTGAGACGATACTTTTGTATCCAACGTCTTGATTAATAAAATGTTCCCTGTATTACGAATACTATTTAGATGGCGTGGCATTAAAAATGTGTTCACACACACACACTCACGCACACACACACACATATATATATATATATATATATATATATATATATATATATATATATATATATAAAAAGGCAGGATGTGAGTGTGTGTGTAACGAATGCACGGCCGCAATTTTCGAGGGATTTGCACCAAAATTTACATGCACATGCTCCAAGTTAGTCGAAAGGCCAAGACCGACATTGCATTTCCCAACTCCCATCGATAGTGGAAATAATCGATTTTTTCATGCTTCTACGGCAATTTTCATGTAGTTTGCAGCCATTTTCTACTGGCCAGAGTGAGAGCCAATAGCTGGCTGCCACGAATAGGCAGGAAGATTCTATTGGCCAGCGTGAGAGCCAACAGCTGACTGACACGAATGTTAACTAGCATGCTAGCATGCAAAAACAATCGATAGCTGCATTCGTCACAAGTGGGAAAAATATAAATCTGCATGGCACTTTACTCCAATTGGCTCTTTCACTTGCTTAAACTCAACGTTGCTTCTGATTCCGCAGAACTGGGTTGGGTGTGATAAAGTATTTGTTGTTAACATTCTTTTTTCATTCGGTTTTTCCAGTTACGAGACATTTTTTAAAGCTGATCGTTTTGTGTCCATTTTGTTTAGTTCCTTTTTCGTAACCTATTTAATGTTTAGTATAGAGCTTCGATAAAAATTCGCAGTGTGAGATAGGCAAGAAGTAAGGCATATAGCAACATCAGCACGGCAAAGGGCACTCCTTTAAAGTAAATATTTTAAGTCACGTGATAGCGATTACTGTATGAGTCGTACGAATTTTTAATCATGCAAGGGCAACGCCGGGCCATGCTGCTAGTATATATATATATATATATATATATATATATATATATATATTATTACCGACAACAAGCTACAAATCATAAAACTACAACAGAAAATTTACCAGTACACTTCAAATACATCATGTTTCTCCACAATATTCTATCCTGCATTTCTGGAAGTAATGTTTGTCTATTTACTATCTCTCCCAGGCAAGGTTACTCGATGTTTCCCACTGTGCTTCTTGCCTTCAATATGTCTTGTGAGAAACAAATTATTCAAGTCCCCGTTTCTCAGGAATTTCTTTAAGACTTCTTTGTCACAGAAATTTTAGCTGTTTTTCTGGTTGCCATCAGTAGTGTAATTTTCTTTCCCATTTTCGTTTAAAAGCCCCACGTTGTTTACATGTCCCGCCCCACCGTATTCTCAGTCCCCTTCCGTAGAGCCACATATCGACTGCTTAATGCCTCCTCTCCATCGCTGAGGAAATTATCTAACACGACATTCACTACCATATAGGAAGATTGATATTGCATAATACTACTACGCTGTTCAGTGCTATTTTCTTTGTTCTAACGGTATTTTCTTGTTTCTTAATACTTTATTGAATTTTTTGAACGGTTCTTTCTCTATTCCAATGTGCCTTCAAATTTCCGTGTCACATTTTTCGTCGTCTCTTACAATCTCTCTCTCTCTCTCTCTCTATATATATATATATATATATATATATATATATATATATGTGTGTGTGTGTGAAAATATATAGAAAATATGAAGGAACTGGTTAGGTAATTAATCCAAAGTCCCTTAGTATTTTAGTTATTATTTTTTAAAAATAGTGCTCGATACAAAAGTAGAGCATAAATATAATTATTTATTTAAAAATATGATTCCAAATCGCGACATAAGAAGTCCCATAGAGCATTAATATTATAAATTAATTGATTTAAAATATGTTTTTTTTCGCTACACAGTTCCAACCATGTTTCAAAAATAGAAGCTAAAAACCCCGAATTTAATTTTGCAATTAAATTAAAAGCATTAGTTCCATTTCATCTTCAAGCGAATTTTGGAGTAACTTTTAAAAATTACCGGGTTTTAAAGACACAGCTAAAATCACGTTTCCATGGTTACAGAATATTTTACTTAAATTGAAAAAGGGATGTCGAGATTTTCCTTATGTCAGTATCATTGTATCAGTTATTAGCTACAATTTGGTAAGGGGTAGGGATGTATTTTACAATGAAACCTGACATCAGTTGAATGGATGTCGTCTGAATTTTTTTTTAAAATTGTTAACGGTAAAAAAATTTCAACGTCATTTTTTAAATTTAAAGATTTTCGTTTTTTTTTTTTCCTAATACTTTTTATTTAACTACGATTTGAAATATTCTCCTTTTTAATTTTTATTTTACTATATTCTTTTTAAGAACAGTTAAATGTATTAGAATCCATTATATTATGTAGGATTCTTTTAACATCAAGTTTAAGTATGTATATGAGGTTACATTTTTTTTTTTAAATTTATGACTATGATATTTAGTCACCCCCCCCACCCCCACGAGGGCGTCATGCGGCACAAGGCCTTTTTAACGTGGGCATTCCCGAGCCATTAGGCCCGGCCAAAAAATAGCCCATTCGAACCCGTATAAACGGGTTCAGGGCCGGTTTAACCTCCCCGAAGGAGACTCCGCCCTTCGGCGTAGCCTCCTTCGGGTTCCTCTCGCCCGTAGGAAGAGAGTTGAACCGAGCAGTCGCTCAGAAAGTATCTGGACGACTAACTTAAATTTATGACTATGACGGCAAAAATGGTTACTTAATTTCACTGATTTAGTAAACTTTTATTTTATATATAAACCTAGTATTATAATGTTTCTCATGTAAGTACTAAGGACATGGGTCATTCAAAAGCTTACATCTTATGGCATTTCATATTAATTTTATTTTACTATAGGTGTTTTTTTTTGGATTCTTTTTTAGTGCGTGTATATATATATATATATATATATATATATATATATATATATATATATATATATATATATATATATATATATCACCTCGGCATGGTGTAATGGTTAGCAAGCTTGTCTCGCCGCTAGATCACTTACGACTTAATCCTAAGTAGGTGTCCAATACTTTCGGCTTTGTGCCACATCTAAGCTACGCTTAGTAAATATATATATATATATATATATATATATATATATATATATATATATATATATATATATATATATATACGGTTGTCAATTTTCTTTCTTGTTAAAAAAATCTCATGGATTCGTTATCTCACTACATTCCGTTGTTTTGTTTTTTTTTTTTTTTTATGTTCATTTCTTTTTAGGGGTGAGTAGGAGAACTAACGATACATGTAATACATAAGTACAAAATTTCGATAAATTTATAGTATATTTACCACAGCCGATATTTAGCCACGCACAACATTTTTTCAGAATTAATTCAGTATTTCGAGAATTAGTTTTAGAGAATTGCCTGAAGAAGTCTGTAGAATGAATCGGCCAAAATCAAATGATCCCAACAAAAACTCCTTTAGTAATCCGGACAACTTTGTTGATTGATTCGTTTTCTTCGGCTTATCAACTCTTTTCAGGTTATTTAAAGCCAGAAATTATTCTTAGATTGTAAGATATTTTTTTTTTTAGATAATAATAGTTTAGTGATACAAGTTTTACTACTTGACCCGTCGCTGGAGAGAGAAGAGATTGATTCAAACCTTTTCACCAAACGTATTTACACGTAGGTGAATATAAAGAACAGAACGGGTATTGGAACTCGGCTTTTCGCTTAACAATCCAGAGCCATGATCAATTACAGCACCCGTATATCCATGCTTACTGTACCTGTACCTTATATTCCCAAATGGTCACCCATCTAGGCACTGACCAGGCTCGGCGTTGCTTAACTTCTGTGATCGTTTGGGAACCGGTATTTCAACGTGATGTAGCCGTAAGCCTCCGGAAAACATTTGCAATGATAACCCTTCTCAAATTTAGAGAATTTCTTTCTTTCTTTCTTTTCTTTTTTTTCTTTCTTTCTTTTTCTTTCTTTCTTTCTTTCTTTTTTTTTCTTTCTTTCTTTCTTTCTTTCTTTCTTTCTTTCTTTCTTTCTTTCTTTTGTATATATGAATTGCATTGTGCTATATTTGCGAGATACAAAGAAACACCATGAAATTTCCTCGCCTCTTGAAAGAAAATAAATAAAACCAAGTTCATTTTCTATGAGCTCAGTAGAGACAAAAGAATTAAAGATATTGTAATGGATGTCATCCTTTTTTATAGCCAAAAAGGATTCCTCAATAATAATGTAAGTCTATTAAATCTAATATATTTGGAATTCACTGGGCTTTATTCTGTGAACGCAGTGAATGATCCTGGAAATCTAAATGAGTCAAAATCGAGGCAAAACCAGACAGACACTGAAGAAGGCAGAGAAATAAAAGATAAAAAGTAATTTGTATTCGAATTAGCCAAGCAAGTCAGATTTAAGACGCCCATCTGCTGTGAGCGTCCATCAACGAAAGAGTAAGGATTATGGGTAATTTTGTTTGCCTTACGCACAAAGATATGCACACTTACAAAGACAGCGTCCCCGATTTGTACGGACATATTCAAGGATATGTAGGGATATTTTTCGCAGAGACCAATTAACTTTGGCAGCTAAGCACGCGTTTTTAGATCTACACAGACTTTGCAAATTGTGTTCAATGGAGAAAGCGGAAAAGCTAAAAGTTCTTGTTTTTTTTTTATTTCGCTACTAGTGTCAAACGGAGTGTAAATTTGAATTTCACGCCTCAAGGTAACTGGAGTGTAAATTCAAATTTCAGTGGAGGTTAAAATTCAAATTCCACTTTCCAAAGCAAAAGAGGTGTAAAAAACTGGAGTGTTGCTTCTCAGTGCAAAGGTGGTGGAAATTCAGTCAATCAGTTATGTGCCATGCGTGATACACTCTTAGGCGAGGGAGATTTTTTTTCCCCGTAGTAGGTTAATATTCCTTTCTGTGGTAGACCAGTTACCATCCAAGGCTATAGAACCCGGTCTTTCCTGCTATTTACCCATAGTTGGTGGGAGAAGAAAAGGAATCATACCTTTTCCCAAGTGTATTAGTACGTAGGTGAATGTAATGGATTCAACTAGAATTCGAATCTCCGATTCCTCAATCCGAGTCCCTATCCATTACTCCAACGTTTCTCTAAATAAAACGCACTGAAATGGTTTTCATATATTTATTGACTTGTATGACGAATCATATGACAATTGACAGTTTGTTTATATGGACAACCAAAAAATCACATATTGACAACATCTTTCACCTATCCATAAAATATGACTTTTTCTCTGTAGACTGGTGGATTCATAATGGTAATGGTAATATTAGCCGTTTCCTTATAAGGAAATATTCGTAATTTTTCAGCAAAATATTTTTTGAAGTTCCGTAACTGTTATCACTCTTTCCAGTATTCATGGGGCTTTCTTTCCTAACCTTTTGTTCGAAGTAGTGTGGAACGTCAGCATCTTGATTATGTCATTATTTTCTCTTCGCGTTACATGAGCTACACATTTTAGTTGCTGCTGTCGTTGAAAGTCCTCAAGTTATGTGGTTTGTTAGTGATTCTGTAGCGCCATTCTACAACGTTCGAAGAAGAATTGTTTTCGCTACTCACTATTGTCGCTTGACACGGTGAATCAAGATGGATATGACTGGATTCTTGAACTTTTCTTCTGCTGGCAAACTTTTCAATATAAGGGACGTTAAATACTATTTAAAATCTGCAATATTTCTGAGAAGGCATATTGTTGTAATTTTGAACATATTCACATCTAAATATCTCTATCTATAAAAGGCAGGATGAGTGTGTGTGTATGTGTAACGAATGCACGGCCGCAATTGTCGACGGATTTGCACCAAACTTTACATGCACATGCTCCAAGTTAGTGGAAAGGCCAAGACCGACATTGCATTTCCCAACTCTCATCGATAGCGGAAATAATCGATATTTTCATGCTTCTACGGCAGTTTTCATGTAGTTTGCGGCCATTTTCTACTGGTCAGAGTGAGAGCCTCTAGCTGGCTGCCACGAATAGGCAGGAAGATTCTATTGGCCAGCATGAAAGCCAACAGCTGACTGACACGAATGTTAACCAGCATGCAAAAACAATCGATAGCTGCATTCGTCACAAGTGGGAAAAATATAAATCTGTATGGCACTTTACTCCAATTGGCTCATTCGCTTGCTTAAACACAACGTTGATTCTGATTCCGCAGAACTGGGATGTGTGTGAAAAAGTATTTGTTGTTAACATTCTTTTTTCATTCGGTTTTTCCAGTTACGAGTCCTTTTTTAAAGGTGATCGTTTTGTGTTCATTTTATTTAGTTCTTTTTTCGTAACCGATTTAATGTTTAGTATAGAGCTTAGAAAAAATTCGCAGTGTGAGAGGTAAGGCATGTAGCAACATCAGCACATTTGAACTTAACAATAACAATAAAATTCCTTTTCTTGATATATTGATAGACACCAATAATAATACATTTACTTCCTTCCCATACAAAAAAAAACTAACTTGTATAAACACTTTTAACTATAAAAGTGAATATCCTAACTATTACAAAACAGCGATTATACAAAATTTAATAAACCGTGCAAAATTTAACATTTCTGCAGAAAAATTTCTGCGCTGATTTAAAAAACAAATTAAACAAACTCTCATTAATAATGACTTTCCTACTTACATTGTTGAGGAACTAATTAGACGAGCTGTTAGAAATAATAAGATAAATAAAAAAACATACTACTTCCTCAAATAACCCTAAACATATCAACCTACTATACTGCAATCAAATACACTCTGACTACAAACACAATGAAAATATCCTAAAAAAACTCATAAATACTAATATATCCCCACTGATCCCTGTAAAATATAAAACTAATTATATACTATACTAAATTTAATACAATCAATTTAACAATCCGCAATAACTCTTCTCCGACAACTAATGTTTTGTAAAAGCCCAACATTGTATACCAATTTAATGATCATTTAGGAGTTAACGTCGTGTGTTACGTCGGCCGTGGCCACGGCTATCCCGTCCAGTACGAGAGGAACCGCGGGATCGGAGCAACGGTTCGCGTGCTCGCTCGGACAAAAAAAGTAAATATATATGTTGGTTTCAAAACTATATTATCGAGGAGACTTACATTACATATGTCGGATTCAAGCTCTATTGCACAATATTTAAAGGAACATTCTTGCCCACATTCATGTTTTAGAGAAATATATATATATATATATATATATATATATATATATATATATATATATATATATATATAAATCCACCATGAAAATAAAAACAAAAACTTCAAACTCTTGAAGCCCAATATATAAGAAAAATTCAGTCAACACTAAATGAGAGTAATTGAGTATAGCAACAATGTTTTAAAGTGTCTATACGGCCAAGGTTTTAAAATACTTAAATTGTATTTTTCTTTTATTATTTTTATTATGCCTTTTCTTTAGCTTTTCTTTTTATTATTATTATTACTGGTTACCATATTAATTTCTATGATTGGCTGGCTTAAGAGATTTTTGTGGCCTAACATATGTGCTGATTCCTTAAGTTTTCGTATTTTCCAGTGATGTTCTCTGTCTATTATTTCAACCTCATCCCACAGGGTGTAGTAATCTCCCTTTTCCCTCCATATATGGTCAGCTACACCTGATTTTTCTATTTGCCCTCGCGTTACGACTTTATGCAGACTTACCTTAAGAGGACGGCCAGTTTCTCCTTTATATTTATTACCACAGCTGGACGGTATGGTGTACACACAGTCCTTAGTCATATTCTCCTCTATAATGGGTGTCTTACTCGGAAGTGGTGTTTGCGAAGTGTAGAAACACTTTTGAAGTTCGTCCTGATGTTATATAGATCACAGATCATTTGTATTTTCTCCGATAATTCCTTCACATAGGGTAGTCAGACTGAAGCTGTTTTCTGAGTGCTGTTATCATCTTGTACCCTTATATCCAAGTTTGTCGGAGCTGCTACCATGTACCTAGGGTAATTCTTATGGTGTAGGGTACTGCTTATACTGACCATTTCTTGATCATATATCTCTGGGTTGTGAAAAAATTCACAACTATCAATTACAAAAAAATTACAACTGACAATTACATTACTAATTTTTTTGTCTTAGTAATGAGATTGGAAGTACTTGGGAAAATAAAAGAAATTAAAAAACTATGGCGCATTCCTTAATGCGTTTAATAAGAACAACATTAGGGAAGTGATCGGTGAATTTGAGAGGATTAAAATAAAATAAAAAATAGACATAATATGTCTAGATTATTCAACCAAACATGCTTGAATGAAGATATGCTGCCTAAATCACACACACACACACACACACACACACACACACACACACACACACACACACACACACACACACACACAAATATATATATATATATATATATATATATATATATATACACGGCTCAAACACCAGTATTCCATGGTTATAATTTATTACATTGGATTCATAATAGCGATCCAATTCATCAGACCTTTTTGCTCTGTCCTGGACATTGAGCTCTACTTGAGTCTATCCTCTCGGAAATATATATATATATATATATATATATATATATATATATATATATATGTTCCAAAAATGTATACACAGCTTATAGCTTTATTGATGTTAAACCCATTAGGATTAATGATGGCAGTCAAACTAAGCTTTGAACAAAGGAAATTCATTCTAAAATGCTACTGGAAGAGTGAAAACGCAGTTGAAGTGCAAAGACAGTTTAGGAGAGATTTTAAAACAGATCCAACAACACGACTTACCATCACTCGAATTAAGATAAGTCAGCATGTCTACGAGAAGCGTTCCGGAAGACTACGGATATTGACAAGCCCCACAAAACAAGAAAGAGTACTGG